ATTGGAAGTGTTTCTTTCAACTTCGATGATCGAAAATCATCACGATACTCGATTATTTTCTAAATTAAGGCTTATGAATGTATCAATTTCCAAATTTCTGGCTATATTCATCGATGAAAATTGATCTCAAACAAGCGAATATAAAAAAGTTCTTTACATTAAAAAGATCAATCTCGTTAAATTTTTGTGCATCACCATATGTTCATGTATGGTATAGTAATCGTCGCCCGGAATTGATAAATTAAAGACATTTGATTAGACATTAAAGTCTGCTTACTGCCTAGAATAACAAATACAAAATCTTGATTTTTGCAAAAAGAAAAAACACGCACTTCTTTTAATTTATGAAACGCGGATTTAATCAATACCGGTACAGTTCTAATTCGAACGAAAGTGAATTTATCGAAATTATCTGTCAAGTTCGAAATAGACCGGATATCATGGCTACCACTCCAAGTAATGAATTTGTTTAAATTTGATTTTGTAAATTCGTAAGAATAAGGGTATCTTAATGTTCAGATATAAGATCAGGAACGACAGTTTCGTATAATAGATATCATAATTTTCTATTGAGATATGCCAATGGCAGAGTGCAACACGTTGCAAGGATTTTGGAAACGGAAAGTACATTTATGTGTAGGTAACAGTTGCTCCGCTTATCAGAGTCAGCGAGGCGAGAATGGTGTACTTCCGCTTCCGGCATTGGTATCGAGAATCTCTGAAGAAAGAGTTTGAAACCAGTGTTGGCCACAATGTTGGTTGAAGTTAATCGAAACGCTTTCATGCTTGTTACGATAATCATATGAGCATTCTGCAAAAAGTTATCTGTCTCTCTCTCTCTCTCTCTCTCTCTTTCACTATGTAAATTTGTAATATCTCGGACAAATTGTTTAATGGTTTCAACACCGTCGCTATAGAATTGAATGTGTTGAAATGAAAACATACAAGAAACAAATATGGCCACGTTCAAGCAATTATTAATAATAATAATTGGTTTATTGAACAAAGGGAGTGTTATAATAATATGATACCATGCTTTACAAATATCATAATAAAAAGAGCAAAGAAAAGGAGTGATACAATAAAAAGATACAATAGAATTCAAGTGATAAAGACAATTAAGTAAAATGAAAAAGATTGAGAAGATAATAGAGAACAGTTCAGTAAATGATCACTAAAATAATAATAAAAAGGTGAGGTAGGCATAATTAAGGACGAAAAAGTGTTAATGAATGTAGTAGCGTGATGCATGGGATAACGAGGGCAGTCAAGTTTCTGTTTAATTATAATAACATAGTGACTGTCGCGCCAGCAACCTCAAAAATTTCATAACATTAAGATATTTTATTTAACTCAATTTCAAAATTAAGAAGTCATGATATTATTTAGGCATTAGTTACTTTTTTAATATTCTTACGTCACGCATGTTGTCGACGCGGCGGTTAAAATGTTAAAATGAAAACTAGTGTGAAAAAGTCTGAATGAATCTAATCACGGTTACTAACAGAATAAAGAACGGTCGAGTCATGGCTGTAGAATAAAATTCTTACGGGTGAGGCCGTTGGTTTTCCTTCTACATATCGAGGCCGGTAAATCAAAATACAAAATGAAAGTGTAGCAAAAGAACGAATCGTAACAATGGGCCGCGATAAGTTTGTATACGTACAATGTACGTACAATGTACGGCAGAGATATTCGTGCAAACGATATGCACGGTCCTTCGGTATCAGGCACCGGGATCTTTTCCCGCTGCGAACCGTAGCGCGCAGAGGCCATCAGCGTCGGTATAAAGAATTTTCTACGGATCTCATTCGTTGCCTCCCTCGCACACTGTCACTTTGCCCCCTTTCCTCCGCCGCGAATACGCCAGGGAACGAGATTAAGCAGGTATACAGTGCACACCATAAGTTTGTTCGCCTCGAAAGTTCGCATACTATTCCCCGATTAGCGTTCTTGCGTAGTATCCGCGGGCAATCAAGCGTGACACGTGAAAGTGATCTCCGAAGAAGCTATGACGGAGATAGATTCGCGAACGGACCAATCCAGGCTGGTTTTCGAATAAATTAAATACAATTTACCAGGCTGCTGAATACGGCGCCGCGTATTTTTAGAGACTCGTCACACGCGATTCTCAAAAGCGGTTTGTACTTCTCTTTTACGGGTTTAGGAGGGGATGTTGTGTTCAATGCGCTGGATTGTACTTCTGTTACGTAAGCACGTGTTTCTGGACGATGACTGTAGAAAGTATAGTTTACGCGAATACGTGGCATCGAGTGATGGATATTATAATGTAAATGCGATATTTTCGATTCGATTTTCGTGCTTTTTGACGACTTATTGCGCAACGTTTCAAGTGGCATTCTAGGAATCATGTTCATTTGATTCTGTCACCATTTTGCACCATTCTGTTACACGTGTAGTGTTTCTAAGAATTAAACGAATTTTTTTAGTGGTAGCGTTCAATTAAATCTTCATATAAATCGTAAATAATGATTCTAAAAGTGCTAATGATCGCTTAGAGAAATCAAAAAGTTAGAGAATATTATTTATGTAAATTTATATCTACTATATTATTATTTACATCAATTAACTTAGAAAGTGTGATGCAACGTTTACTGATAAACGCGCAAGGTTTCGTTACAAGTGCACAATACATACGAGAATTTTAAGGCCTTTCAAGTTTCATAGTAGATTCTTGAACTCAATGTCTAGACCATCGACCTATTTAACTCCGTTTATCTCACCAACACCTACTTATTAGTTTACACTCAACAATTGTACTCCAACTTTAAGACGTTACATTCGTGCATAAAGAAAAGTATACACTTTACATATTCCACTACATGTTGTTCTATTTAAATTTCAATGCCACTTCCACAGTTTGTTAATACACAAATACAGAAGAAATCTGTAACGTTAAAGATGTACAAGAAATCAACTTAAACAATTCAATCGGTAAAATGGACACACATTGTTAGAGTACACATATCGTTATTTAATTATCTATTTATGAATCATGTCTAATTCCCAACCCCGTGTGGCTGAATAAAATAATAATTAAAAAACATATTAAACACTATCTAGTGAATAAATTTAGTTTAAACTTTGACGTGTTTCATTGACACTTTGACTGAAAAATTTCACAACTTTACAGTAGTTTGTTTAATCAAGTTAGAACTGAAAAGTTAAGTTTAGTATGAATATATATAAAATTAGCATGATATAATTGATTAGCGGAAAAATTAATTTTCAAGTGTGAGCAAATAATTTCGCCACTCACATGTGGTGAGTGGGTTAATAAGATCTATAGAAAAATTCGCGTATGTATGTAACGATATATTGAATATAGTATTTTTGTTAGAAAGGTCCGCTGTTAATAAAGTGCTTAAAAAAGGTCTAGCGTTAACATTGTGAATTAAAACATTCGTGTTACGCGATACCCAAAATTGCCTCGACAATCAGAATTAAGAAACGATGAAGCGTTGAAACAGGTTCGTAACGTCCAACTCGGTGGGAGCCCGAGAGACAAAATTTCCTCGAAAACTGGTCAATGCGGGTAACTTAAATCGAGACAGACTGTAATAGCACGCGATGAGGTCTCGGTCCCATATGCTTTGAAACAACTTGACCCAGCAATTAGAATACACGTTTCCGTCTACGACCTTGCGTCATTTACGACGCCTCTATCATCGCCCATGCTTATTGTACCGATGCGAAATACCGTGCCTATCGCAGTCCTGCCCTATCTCCGTATCAGTCGTTGCACGTCACGGCGCGTACAAGCACCACCAGCGTCGAGTAGAAAGAATTTTCCTCGGTTCCCTTCCTCTTTCCCTTTCTCTTTCTCTCTTCGCGTCTTTTCTGTAGCGCGTGAACGCATGGAGAAACAAGATTACGCCGGTGTATGGTATACACGCGCTGGAAGTTCTGTTTCCTAGGAACGGGACTGAGATAGGTCGAAGAAAAAGCGAGAAAGAGAGATTGACTAAACCTCTTCCACCCGCGAGCGTGATAGTCAGTGGGCGATGCGCGACCAAGCCTAACCTGTGCCGGTTCTCCAGCAGGGTAAGCAGAGAGGCTGGGTCGCTAGACGGTGAAGGATAGAACGAGACAGCTGCCGTCGAATGGCTCTGCGTGTGCGTGTGTATTGGCGCGCGTGTGTGAGCATGTACGGGTGTGTGTTGAGTATGCATGCATGTGTACGTGTGTGTGTGTGGGTGGTGGGGCTAGAGCGGCGCATGCGCGTCAAGGACGCTTATTGAGCCACGGAGAGAGGGGCGTTTGGTGCCTCATCGTCGGCGGTGGTGGCGGTGACGGCGACGTGGCATGGTATATGGTCGCATGGGTGCAGCGAGGGGTGAGGTGGATAGCTGATATTATGCGGGGGAGGGGATCCTGGCTCCTCGTAGTCGGGAAAAGCAAGAGGAGGGTAGATACGCGATAATCGAAGAGAGAAAGAGTGTTGGTGTGACGGTGTGCGTCACGATAGTTCGCATGTACGATCGAGAGAGATAGAACAGGGGGATAGAACAGGGACAGAGCTAAACTGCCGAAGCGAAAGGGGAGCATGCGAAAGAAAGAGACGGACAGGGTTTCGAATTAGTGAGAGGATGCATAGTTGCGCGATAGGTGGTAGAAAGAGAGAAATGCGAGAGAGGTACGCGCATCGAACGGAGACGCGAACAACGAGCAGCGAACGATACGAAACGTTGAGGAAAGAGAAGGAGAGACGTATACCGTCAAGCGAATCGGCCGATCGTAGGTGTGACTAAGTGAGATAGACGGAGGGGAACAGAAACGGACGAATGCAACGGAACGAGGTTTAGCGAAGAGGGAGAAAGAAGGAGATAGGTTGATATAGGTTGGTTGAGTGTAGCTAGGGTGAAGAGCAAGGAAGGCAGAGGGCGGGGAGTCCAGAGGGTAGGACGAAGGCGGTAGGCAGAAAGGGGAATATGAATGGCGAAGAGTGGGGTAAAGGGGGCGCTAGTGTCGGACAGTCGGTGTCGCGCCAGGCCCCCGCTAGCGGCTAGCCAAGCAAGCAGCAAGCAGTCGCAATCCCGTCGCCTAACCAGCATTGCTCGCCTTACCTTTTCACCCTCTTACAAAATCGCATCGAGGCTTCCGTCAGACGCATATATTTGCCCCGTTCCATCAACCGGTCCCTCCGACGTCGTTCGTCGTCGTTCGTCGTCGCCATTGCCGCCGCCACCGCCGCCGCCGCTGTCGCCGTCGCCGTCGCCGTTGCTGCTACTGCCGTCGTCATCGTCGCACACGCAGTACGTCGTCGTTATTGCTCTCGCAATCGTCGTCCAGTCGCGCGTGGATTACGAAGCAGCGGTTCTTGTTAGAAAAGGGAAATTGCGAGCGAATACTATTAACCATTCGAAGGAATTGAAACGGAGTCTCCCGCGAGAATATCGGACAAGCTGATTATGAGTTGGAACAGTGGAGCGGGTCAGCGAGCATCCGGGCCAGCGTTTTTAAAGTGAGAACAAGTTTTCCGTGGTTTTGTGTCGTACCCGCGAGATCCGTTGGAACAGTACAGTGTGAGTACACGGCAACCGTTGGATTTCTGTCGTTTTACGTTCTTTATCGTGAGAATACACATACATATATGCATATAGAAAAAGGAAGCTAGTGCAGTATCTGAACCGAAAGTTTTCCTATGTCGCACGTCAAAGATTACGGAGCCATCGTGTTATTATCGGAATATTAGTGCTGGCGAATAAGATATATATATATATATATATATGTATATGTATATATATATGTATATGTATATACATGCATACGTACATACATAGATAACATATATATATAGGTATAAATATATATGCAGACATATATATTTATATTTATACATGTATATATTTACGTATATATATATATGTATATATATATATCTCTATTTTTGGTGTGTTGTTTGTTACCACAAGTGAGGAGTACCAAGGTTCGAGGAACCAGTGAACGCTCGCCGACCGCCTAACCTTACGTCTTGTCACGGTGACCGACATCACGGCGAGATCGCGGCTGATACCTCCGCGTGTTCCGGCGCAAGGTAGTACAGTACATCGCTATTTTACGATACATATGTGTGCCTGTACGACCGTGTTCGTTCAGTAAACGTTCTAGCGTACAGAGCAATAAGTCGTGTAGCCATTGGCCGCGCGTGGGCGCTCCGTTGTATGTATTTCGAACCTATACATGTATCATGGTTCACATCGTCATCCCAATGACGTCATCGCTCCTGTAATTACATTTTTACGTCGTTTCACGGGATCGAATATTTGCACAGTTTCTTTCTTTTTTTCTTTCTGCTCCAACAAAAAAAATGTCTGAAACAATGAAAGAGGATCGATTGCCGAACGATTCTTTTGGTCCTCATTGAACGTGATCGCGTACGTTGATGGGACGCGTTCGTTTTTCAGTTTTGATTTCTCATTATCGCAGTTTCTTACGTTGCTTGTTGGACTCGTCTTTCGTGAGAAATGCAATCGGATCATCCATGCCCGTACCTTTCGAGTTTGTATCGTTACCATTGTGACTGGAAGCGAAAGAAATGAAAAGACACAGAGAACGAAACAAAAGAAAACCACGCAATCGACACGTTTCGCCGCAAAGCGAATTCGAAACCGTCGCGCGGCAACGAGTGCGTCGAGCGCTTCCATGTTACGTGTACGCGTGAGATGATTAGCCACGTGTCGTTAATTTCTCGTTTACCTCGCGCGTGTTCCTCGTTCATCCATTTTGATTCCTACGAATATTGCACGGTTCGTCGTTTTAGAATGTTTCTTCGTTCGGTTAAAATAATTAATAACTGTTGTCTCGCCGATCTCGCGTAGACCGACGCATTTATAGAATCTTGAACGGATGTAATTGTTATCACATTCCAGTTTTATGTAATCCGATACGTATCGAAACGCGAATCGTGGCGAGCACTCGGTAAACTCGTTGCTTTAAAGTGTATGGGTACGGCCATGATAAATGTGTCTTACTTTGTGTTATCTTTTCACGAACGATAGCGATAAGTAAATTACATTCGACCATTTCCCACGGTTCGTTCATTATGCACAGACATGTTTCATTGTATTTCACCCAGAACTTTTTGAGTTAAGCATGGACTACCAATCAAGCAGAATGACATAATCCGATATGAATCGCAGTGAAATTGGAGCGGACTGGAAATAATGTTTTATTGAAGCCGGAATATCTTCGGATCCTGATATTTAGAAATTCTTTTCGCCGATCCGTGAACTTGTTGTTCTCAGTTGCACAGGGTGTTCTTAGGTTATTCGTTCCCTTCGCATTCCTACGCGGGTAGGTATGCGACCTTGTTATCTGTAACTTTAATCTTCTTTCGAGGTATTACAGTCCAAAGAGTTACTGGTTGCAACATATAGTTTTAATTTATTTTTCGACCGTGAATCCGAGACCCGTAGAGAGGTTTCGGAAAATCCGATGACTTCTGCGAGATTTAAATATGTAACTCTGATTTAAGCCAGTAAGTCGATTTCTCAAAGGAAGGATCGATGGAGAAGATTTTATTACTGTACAATTCCTATCACGAATTCTAGTTTTCGATGCAGTATCGTATTTCAGTTACGAAGTTAACTAAAAGTAAAATAAGATAGGAAATTATTTAAGAGTTGTGAAACCAATGAAATGATTTATCTGAATTTCTTCGTTGGGCTGAGAATATTTACTTAAGCCTTTGGCTTGCTAATTTTCAAGGCAAAAATATACCAAACAGAATTTTATTAATCATATTAGAACGATATAAAATTCTAAATATAATTTTAGGCAACAAAATACTTCATTCCGGAGTCGATATTTTAAGAACGATAACCCATGAACTCTATTCACATTAGTTCTCAGTATTCAGTAAGAAGATACTTAATGTTTGAACGTTCACCAAGTTCAACGAGACCTTGAAGCCTTTCTCGCGAAAATTATAAATGAGACTGCAAGCTGCTAGCCCCATTACATACGATAAAATAAACTACACAAAGAAAACTTCTACTTCATACCATCAAGGTAGACAAATTTGTAATTTCTTAAATTAATGTAAAAAGTACGTGCCATGACAGCACCGTGGAAATTTATGTATCTGCAGCGTCTCTTAACTTAGCTGACTGTGTGTAAAAGTAAGATAATATTCTACAAATTTTTTTTACGAAGACAATAAAAGTCCTCTATCACACAAAATAAAATCCTGTTGAATTTCTTCTCTAGAAATGGCTGAGAACGTCGATCACCGCGTACGTTCTCAACTCGGTAATGACGAATGTAAGAAATTGTTATTACCAGCTGATTCAAAGTATCTGCGATCAATGCAAATTTCATAACACAGATAAATAAAACCAGATAATTAATAGCACAGATATCGCATTCTATATCAGGACGGAATAATAAAGCGGGGCAGTGATACGCGTGTCGGAATACGCAGCCATGAATCGAATCAATCGCGATAGCGAGGAGTGTGTATATCGATATCCATTCACGCGTTGAAAACAAAGGCACGATCGTGAAAAAAAAAAGGAAAAAATATGTGATCGCGGCGATGGTCGCGAGTGTGCTCAGAGCAAAGTTTACTTGGTGTCCTTATTGCTCGCCGATTTTTCGTTTTCGAGCGAATCGACTCGCCATGGTATTTGTGCGCCCTACCTACGCTGCTGCGCCGTCTGTAGTCTGTATAGGCGCGACTTCCTGTAATCGTCGTAAACAAGTGGAAACAAGGACGGCCGCGTTAAAAAGGGTTCGTGGGCATGGAGTACCAGCAGCTAGAACTCAATAGGATAAAAGACACCGAGGTCGGAATGTCAGTGGGACACGCCCACAAAGCTTCTGAAATTCGATGCCTTCAGACCTACAGAGTAATACGCGTGGGATGCAATCGACACATTCACATTCACGCGTCATTTCGGCCGGCTTCTTCCGTATCTACAGGGTTACTCAAAAGATTAGGTCACCCGGTAAAAAAAACATATGAGCCGTTCAAAGCAAAGATGGTGTGAGCCAAGCTTTTGCTAGGTTGATTTAATATTATTAAATCATATTTAGTTTAGTACTTATTTGTGCTTTTTTTTCATTAATTTAAGTTAAAGCTTGAAAGCGAGCCACGTAAAAAAGAGTTGTAACAATGTTTTATGTTACTGTATTTTACGGAACTTTTAATTTATTCTTCATTGTCCTACAAATTAACTTCTTCGAGTTGCACCATTTCTGTATTTAATAAGCTATAGTAATAAATATAGCCTATATATAGTACTTGTCATGTTATTAATCCTTTTAATGTTGACTAAAAGAGTTATGTGCATCTGAGAGAAATATAAGAAATTTGGTTGATGTAGTTCAGTACAGTTTCAGAAAGAAATTATAAAAATTTTGTAAAAACTGGCAATTACGAAATCTAGAAAGGAATGGAAATGAAGAAATAAAACTGTTATTTATTAGAGATATTAAGAAAACAACGTTTTCGGAAGTGTAGCGGCCAAAGTAACATGTTGCTCAATAAAATCCAAATCCAATATTTAATCCATTATTTATAAAGTCCAAATCAAATATTTTGTTCGCCATTTTACTTTATCTCATTCTTTGGTCTTCATTAAATAAAACAAGTTACGTTATCTTGACAACCACTTAATAACAGAAAAAAAGCGATAGGTAATTTTATCCTAGATTCTTAAATTTTCTGGGTCACAGAGATGTCAACACTGAACCTATCGTGCTGATCAAGATGACCGGTCTTATAGTTTTTCTTTTAAAATTGTTGAGATGATTATAATAGGAAATCATGATTTCATAGGAAATGATGATTTCATAGGAAATGATGTGATTTCATAGGAAATGATGTGATTTCATAGGAAATGAAAGAATACATATCTTAAATGAAGCGTACATGATAATAAAAATTAAGCAACACATGTCAGTTCCTCTTAGTGCACGGTGACTTTAGTGTTAATGTTCTGTTCTTCCTAGTGTACGTATTTGAGAATAAAAAGTACCAAATGATCTGCTTGGCAAAAATGTGTGCGGATTATTAGATATTATTTTTTGCAGTATAATATCCTATGTAGTGAATAAACTGACAATAATACATCACATATCTATTCGATACATAACATCATATTTAATTATATCAAATGATACTAACATATTGATCAGTATTCAGAGAACGAACATGAAGAATTACATAAAAATATGAATGTTATACATGTAACGTTTGTAAAACAAAATTTTCCTGGAAATTTTATGAAATCGAAATGAAATAAAAGCACTTTTTAAATCCTATTCACTGGTAAATTTGTAAAATGGTAATTGCGGCCATACCTTGTACGATATATGATCGTGCAAATTTTATTGATAGCTATATAAAAAGCTGCTTTTATTCGAGTTATCAGCCGATCAAGGATACTGTAAAGGGTTCATTAAATTTTATTGGAGATTGAAATCCGTAGTACACGTGCCATATTTTCTGTGATATAATTCGTATGCGGTTCGGTACAATTCGCACTATGAAATTTGTGAATCGCGTCTGTTTCAAATCAATGAACATTACATTTGATTTTCACTGCTCGGTCAGAATGAAATCGATGAGAAAATATTCGATCGTTCGTCCGTCTGGAAATTCAATTACTGGATTGAAAGGTATTATTAAGAATTATTATTTAAAATGCAATGAATAATTATAGACTCATACATACTTTTGCAATTTTCAAAAAGTCGACTCTATTATTCAAGCCTTTCAACGTGTAGTCTGTACGTGGCACTGCCGAAACACACATTGTTTAATTTGTAGTATTTACGATTAATTTGATCTACCACAATCTTGAACAATCTTGATGTGAATGCTATTCACATGCATGTTTCGAATATAATATAGTCATCCAAATAATATAAAAATTGGATACTTCGTCTATTATACTTTTTCATTTTAATCAGCATTGAAAGGGTTAAAATACAGTTCTCCCATATTCATTTGCACTGCAGAAAAAAAGTTTGTAAAAGCCAAACGGAAGCCAAAAAAATGCGGAAACTTAAAAAAGAACATATTTTTTG